GCGGGGTGTGGATGTGTCCCTTGCGGAGCCGCGCCGCTCCGTGGGGCTGTGCCTTCCCGCGCTCGCATTCACCTCTCTGCTTCCGCAGGGTTTTTCCTTGCTTGGGCTTGATTTCCTGGTGGGAGCTGCCACTATGTGATGGTCTGAGCAGACCTGGACCTCTGAGGCTTGGCAGGGTCCCCAGTTTCAGTGTCCCTGGGGCAGAAGGTGGCAAGACCGACCTGTCCCGGGAGTGAATTCCTGCCTCGCGGCCCAGGTGCCAACACCAGCTGCTGGAGCAGCCGCATGGAAAATGCCTGTGGTTTTGGAGAGAGGGGACCTGTGCTCCCAGGGAGGAGCTGAGCACTCATCCCATGGGAGGGCATCGGCTCCTGCAGTGGTGGCCTGGAACCTGCCACATCTCCGGCACTGCCAATTCCCTGATTCCCACGGCCCTGCACCATGGTTGGGAATGAGGTTGGGAGGTCAGAGGTTGGGAATGGTTGGAGATTCCCCATCCCTTTGCTTGAATGTGGTGCCTCCCAGTGGGACCTACCAGCCGGGGCTTGGCCTTGCTCTGCATTCGTGGACGGGTAGAGATGTGCCTGGTGGTGTCCCAGCCTGTCCCCTGCCCTCGTGCTGGGGCGAGGTGGCCTCGTGGGGCCTGGCACCCACCGAGCTCTCCTCTCCTCTCCTCTCCCGCCACGGGCAGCATGCGGCCCAGATGGAGCAGAAGCAGAACGAGACAGAGAACAAGAAGGTGCACGGGGACGTGGTGAAGTACGGCAGCGTCATACAGGTAGGGATCCTGCCATCCCCTCCGCGAGCTCCGCGCTCCGCTTCCCGGCCCCAGCTGCTCCATGCTCTATCCCCCATGGGATTTGGGGGAAAAGCCATGGATTGGACAAACATGAGCGAGAGGGTCTCGCAGCCCTCGGGTCCCCAGGTTTTGCGGTGTCAGCTCAGTGTCGGCGCCCGGCTTTGCAGCTCCTGCACATGAAGAGCAACAAGTACCTGACGGTGAACAAGCGGCGGCCGGCGCTGCTGGAGAAGAACGCCATGCGGGTGACGCTGGACGCCACCGGCAACGAGGGCTCCTGGCTCTTCATCCAGCCCTTCTGGAAGCTGAGGAGCAACGGAGACAACGTGAGTGCGGGCAAGGCCGTGGCGAAGGCGTCGGGGCTGGAGTGCAGCGAGCCCCATCCTGCTTCATCCCAGGGTGAAGGGCCTCGTCCTCACCCGCCTCATCCTCCTGCGTCCCCTCCAGGTGGTGGTGGGGGACAAGGTGATCCTCAACCCCGTGAACGCCGGGCAGCCGCTGCACGCCAGCAACTACGAGCTCGCGGACAACGCCGGCTGCAAAGAGGTACCGGGCAGGCGCCCAGGGAGGCTGTGGGGCTTGCTCCCTGGTTTGGGTTTTTGGTTTGGGTTTTTTTTTTGCTTTTTTTTTCCAGCCCCATCTCCAGTGTTGTGAGCTCCCTCCCTTGCTCTGCAGGTGAACTCAGTCAACTGTAACACCAGCTGGAAGATCAACCTCTTCATGCAGTTCTGCGACCACCTGGAGGAAGTGCTGAAGGGGGTAAGGAAGGGGGTGTCCTCCTGCCACCAGCTGCTCAACTGCCACCAGCAGCTTCCCTCTCTGAGGACCATTTTGGGAGCAGAAGGCGTTTGGTGGAGCCGAGCGGTGCCTGGGAAAGGAACTTTCCCCGCGGAGCTATTGTTCGGAGCCGAGGGGCTCCAGGATGCAGCTGGCTCCCTATCGATCGCGCTGATCTTCCAGATCCTTGTCCCCAGACGCACACTTCTTCCCGCCAGCCCACGTGCGTCCTCCTCCTGGTGGCCTTAAGGACTTAAACACATGGGCGAGCCGAGGCCCAGCTTTATTCTGGGGTGGAAAGTGCTATTTTTGCTACCATTTTACAGCGGCAAGAGTGGGAGTGCCGAGCAGTGATTTGCATGAGCAGGGCAGCGATGGTGCCACAGTGGATGCAGGGGGTCCCCGTGGTCCCTGCTGTTGTCCCGCAGGCCTCAGCGCTGTATCCCTGTTCCAGGGGGACGTGGTGAGGCTGTTCCACGCCGAGCAGGAGAAGTTCCTCACCTGCGACGAGTACAAGGGCAAGCTGCACGTCTTCCTCCGCACCACGCTGCGGCAGTCGGCCACCTCGGCCACCAGCTCCAACGCCCTGTGGGAGGTGGAGGTGAGCGGGGACGGCACGGGGAGCGTGTCCCTGTCCCGGCATCCAGCCTGGACGTCTGCAGGGCCGGCGGGGAGGCCGCGGGCGCCCCGCGGGTG